GAAACCATCAACCAGACTATCGGTGGGTTCAACACGACACATCACCCTCCTTCTGCCACTAGTAATCATACAGTGCTGCCCACGTAGTGTCACACCGCTTTATAGAATATCCCGTTTATAATCACATCAAAGTCCTGAATCATTCCCTATATAACCTACAGTAAACAGCCCGTTTTTGTCATAGAATAATGTCATAACCCTGGTTTTTGTCATAACAACATTCCCCTAAATTGATTCCAGGAGTAACTTTTGCCTGTTTAGAGTCACGGTCGGCTGATGGTTACGGCTCACGGGCCGAGCGTCGGTCATGTGTGACAGATTATCACACGTCAGTGAGCCGCAGAAGGCAGTGTGTTGGTGTGTTTGTCAGTTACCTGCTCACCTGAGATCTGATCACTCAGTTATTCACACACTGTCTGTCCATCTTAAAGCCCACTTATTGGAGCATCCTGGACACGGTCATAACTCCATCCTGGACCGAGGGTGCGACAATAAACGGGCAGCACCGTACGACAACACTTCTATCTAACGTCTAGTTCTGTGACTCAGGCGCTACGAGCTTCACTGGAAGCTTAATATTATCATCATATTATAAATATTATCACTTCTCTGAACTCCAAGCAGCAGTTTCTTGGTGTGGTTTTTTTTTAGCTCCTGTCACATTTTTCTTCACTGTGGCTCATTTTATACTCTGAAGTCCTGCAGCTCTGTGGAAACAGAATGAAGAAGGAGAGAGAACTCAGGAATGTCTGTTTGGTGGTATGACACAGTCAGAATGACAGAAATCAGTTAAAGACAAAAAAGATTTTATTTGATTGTTATTTTTACAAAAATGAAAAAAACGTTGCTGTTTTACCAACATTAGAAAACAATGGTGGCTTTACATGCTGTAGATGTTTCTCTGTTTACATTTTTACATCCTCTAAACATTTATTTTACTCTGCACATCATCTGTAGAAACATGTTCCACCATCAGCTGGATGTATCGTCCAACAATCTGCTCCTCTGTTCACTGTTTCTGAGCCATGCTGCATTTATTTATTGATCCAGTAGTTTGAATTTTCCTCCCAGTCTCTCTGAGGAAACACTGGCTGCAGTTCAACCTAAAAACTCTTGATTGATGTGATTGTTGGTCACAACTGAGTCAGTCTCGGTTTTAAAGTTGTGCTGAGGAGCTCTGAATGTTTGTTTATCTATAAAATATGATGCAAACGGTTTATTTTTAGTGATTTTAAAGAGACTGGAGAGAATGAAGTGGGTTTTGATGAAATATTACAATTTGAAGCTCAGATTAGGTTAATTTCCTTTTTTCGGAAATTCCCAAATATTTAAGTTTTTACATTTTCTGGTTGTTATTTTAGAAATTTTCAAAAAAGATCTATACCTTTCAAACCCGTGAGCAGGTTTTTGGGGTTCAGAGGGCGAATAAAACGTCCAGTTTTTTAAAGCTGCATTGCAACAAGCTAAAAACACAACATCCACCACAGTATCACCTCATAG